CGGTTCGAATCCGGCCGGATCGAAGGAATTTTTTCTGATTGTTCAATCTTTGTATTAATAATTATAACAAACTAGTGAAATAATTTCACAAAAAAACTGAATATCAATTCAATAAAAATTTAAAATGTAAAAAAAATTTAAAATGTTTAAAATTTAAAATGCTTTTACTAATTTAATTAGATTATTTATTTGTTGCTCAAGCTTATAATAATAATAATTTTTCAGCTGAATTTTCCGAATGTGTAGATCACATGAACAAATTTGTTGTAACCATAACATATTTCATGATTGATGAGCATTTATACATTCAAAAAGTCTGTTACTAAACAGTTAATCTCAATATGGATATTTCCGTATATTTAAATTTTGCATTTAAAAGAATTTTTGTTGTTTTTGTTTTCTTTTTTCAATTTACATTTTCTTGTTACTGAATGGTGTGTACAGTTGTCTTTGGAATGCAGATTAACTGATTTTTCCGTTGAATTATTTTAAAATAGTGTTTTAATCTGTCTTCTGTGGTCTGACTATTACAATAAAAAGTAAGAATAAATAAAAGAAATTATAATTTTTTTTAATAAGTACTTACAAATTACAAGAAATGGAGAAATAAGAAAAATACTACTCTGCTTAGATAGTATATGTTGTCCCATTTCTTTCGTTAATAGCACATCTCTATTATACTTAAAAACTTACCAGTACTACTCAGTTCCTCAAAAACTTTCTTCATAGACCTAGCTAAGGAACTCCTCTGCAGTATTAGATGGAAGGCAGATTTAGGTCCAGTGTCTAAACCGGTAGGCGTCGTGGTGGAACTAACAGAATGACGGAGATTGTCTTCTTCCTCATCATTTTCTCCATTCAATTCACTATCTAATGATGACACTTCATCATGAGCTGCTAACTAAAAAAATATATATTTTATACGTACATGATACAATGTATAAAGTTCTTTGGTAGATATGTATGTGTATTGTCATATGGATTTACAACTTTCCCTCAGGTAAGTACTAAACTAAAGTCCTTCGGTACAATCTGCCCACTTTTCCGATCGGTCCACTTTCACTATTCGTCTACTTTTCAGATTGGTTCACTTGTACAAATCGTCCACTTTCCCGATTCGTCTACTTTACTGATCGATCCACTTTCCCGATCGGTCCACTCGTTTTCCCGATTCGTTTGTTTTCCATTTCGTCTACTTTCCTGTTTGGCCTACTTAAAGTAGACCGATGGTACCAAAGGGTTACCATTCCTTTTCTGTACATCTAGTGCATTCTAGGCAACAATCGGCGAGTACTTTACGCCGATTGGCAAGCCTTTTCACCACAATGGCGAGCATTATAGTGTATGCCGTCGATACAATAAGTAGACAACTAAAATGATATAAAATGACTGCATAAAAAGAGAGCACACTTGTGTGGGTGTTATATTGGCAATTCAAATGGAGATATAGGTGATTGATAACTGATATTTACTAAACTGATTTAAACCAATAAACAGAAGTCTATCATTACTGTAACAGGATCAAAGGTCATTATCAGAAATGTTTAACAAATTATACAAACTGCAAATTTACCATAATTTTCATTTCTTCTGTCAAATAAGAGCATCTTTTCTCCTCATGTCTAAGTGCTTTCCCCAGTCGTTTGCTCAAATCATAGTAACATTTTACTGAAAAGACAGTACAGGTAAGTAGGCAATTATGCACTATGAGATACTTACACAATATGTCATACGAAGAATATTAGGTACAATGAACAACTGTTCATTATTTTCTTCATTGTACATACAAATATGCAATGTATTTAACATTTTAATGTTCTGTAACACTAAATCATCTCTCTAACTCACATTATAGTAAGTACTAATAAGGTGTCCAACATATTCAAATAGGTCGAATATTTATTTAAAAGTAAATGCATTGAAAATTAACAAAATGATTGAGAAAAATATAAATACAAATTAAATTTGTAGAAAAATAAAATAGTTACAGGCATTCAGAAATCAGGTGAAATAAATAGCAACGCTTATTATAAATTTGAGACACCAGACTCAACAATAATGGCATCATGTATGTTATATATTAGTGAATGTTTTGCTAATTAAGAGAATAATTATAATAATAATGTGCCAGACAACCACACCAATTGCCTGGTCCCACACTAGGGAAATCTCTGTACTATGAGTACCAATGTGATGGAATTCACTCTGGAGTACTTCCCAAAAGTTCATTTCCCGATTGGTTTTACCAGGGATCAGACCCGGGATCTTCTCATTCAGCGCCAACAGTGCAAACTGTTGGGCCACCATGGTTGTCAAATGTATAACAAAAATGAAATTCTAGATTTATTGTGAACCCATTGGAAACATTTTCCTTACCAATTGAATGGCTAGCAGATGCCTGTAAAGCGAAAACAATGTTGATAAGTATCATGGCAGCATTGTCATCCTTGTTTGTTCTGTATGGCAGCAGAGTAGGATGTCCCACGAACCGCACGTCATTCACCTTCAGCTCAAACTTTCTGTTACATAGCTCTGCCTTCACCGCAAATAGTGTTGACAACATTTCATCAGTGAAACCGCTGAGTTGGCCTGAATTTGAAAAAAAGAAGTATCTCTGTTGATACTTACATATGAATAAATTTCAAATCATGTCATTGGCTAATTTCGTAAGCCTCATACCTCCATTAATGTAAACTTTTGAATAGGCACAAAAAACTGAATTACTGGAAACAATTATGACAATCCATGGTCATACCTTTATTTTATGACTAAAAATGGGTCTGTAAAAGTTATTTTAAACTTTTAATAGACCAATATTGCACTTGAAGAGTAAAATAGTTGTCCAGAAACGGATTTATGAGGTTTTCAAGTTTAGTTGACAATGTGTATGTTTTGTGCCTGTATTTTGCATATATATGCCCCAGGTCACATATTGACTATAGTTCATTTATAGTGGTGATGTTTGAGATTTGATGCTTCAAAGGATATGGTGACGTAAAATTGAATGAAAAAAAAAAAGATCTAAATATCTTATCAAGATAATTTGTAACAATGAGAGAATCAATTTAGGGACAATAATTTAATATCAAATAATGTACAAAATAAAAGGATTCGATTATTATAACTTAATAAGTTACTAAAAAACTACACAAGAAATAAAAAATAAACAATAACCCAACAAAAAGTATACAACAAAGAATAAAATCACCAGCAATGATACGAAATTTGAATAATAATAATAGCTCCAAAAATGTCACGCAGAACTCAAAACAAAAGAAATAGACAGGTGTATGCGCTCGTATCGACGCGAGATACACAATAGCTGATTCAATTGATCAATTCTGTGGTTTTTTAAATTTTTATTGCATTGATATTCAATTATTTTTCTGTGAAATTATTCCACTATTTGTTATAATTATTAATACAAAGATTGAACATTCAGAAAAAATTCCTTCGATCCGGCCGGATTCGAACCCACGTCTTCTAGCTTACCGTGCCAGATGCTTAGTTGGTATAGCGTCTGATAAGCTAGACGTCGTTTCGGATCCGGCCGGATCGAAGGAATTTTTTCTGAGTGTTCGATCTTTGTATTAATAATTATAACAATTCTATGGTGTCAATCTCTATGGAAAAATATTCCATTATATACAGCAAGTAGTTGGAGTAATTTATTTCAGTTTCTATCCATAGTCTGTCTTTTTTGAAAATGGAGGAAAATGACATTTACAGGGTTGCCAGTTTTAATAAAATTCTAAACAGTCATGTACTTGTTGTCAACAGTTTTATCGATAGGATGTCAAAAAAGATAAAATTTAGCTAAAAATGACTCAATTGGGAATGTTACGACAATCTAATGACTACTTGCCTAATCGCATTATTGCCTTCTTTATTCTTATTTTGACAGATGGCCTACTAGTATCATTATCAATTTTTATTCATATACGTTTTAACAAGAATGGGTGGATTTCATTAAAATTAAAAACTTCAAAATGTAACTCCTCATTGTATTTTTCATAGACATAGTTCTAAATACAGTGTATCCATGTATGAACTTAAAAAAAATTCACAATTCAAATGAACCTGTGCTCAGTAAGTGAACGCTTAATGGGCTGAGGATGATTCCAAAAAAGTTCAGCTTTTTATTCCATAAGTGTGACCAACATTCAGTCGATAGTTGATAGAATATTTATTGACTGCGATCACTAGTTGCTTGCTAGCGAGCAACACTTTTGCGCAATTAACTGTTGAAATTTTACTCCATCTTCAAAAAAGACAGATTATGCTTAATATACTGTAATTTTTAATTAAATGTACAACTCAAACAAATATTGTTTATTTTTGGTATATCATAAGAATTTATTTTTGTAACTTGGTCGAGAGATTAGTTAAAAATAGTTAGCATGCAACATACAAATTTTAAATGCTACAATACCCATCCTATGTGAAATGGACTATACTTGCACTAGTTCATATTATATTTAAATGATTACCAATCAAACAAAAGGGTTTCATGTCTACCAAAGTACTTTTCCAACTAAATCAATGTAAAAAAACTATGTTTCATTATAATTAATGAGGTACTCTGTAGATAATTAACACTGCAATAGGTACTTAGCAAATAATGAAGTGATTGAACCAAACCCATTTGGTTTAGAATTTCCAATTAGAATTTAAAAAAAATTTGGTAATTCCAATTAGAAAAACTTTATTTTAATTTAAACTACAGCATGATTACTATGAACGTCTTCATCCTTAAAAGGGAATAAACACCAAAAGATATGTGACAGGTACAATATTAAAGGTCTATCCACACATATACAGGCTGTGGACAGGCCGTGCTCCGTCTGGAGCTCAAAAAAAATATCGTTGTGTATATTTTGCATGAACTCTTTCACACATGTCTGTGTCCGGGCCGGGACGCGCCCGCAGTTCATACAAACTAGCACGCTCCGTCCGTATGTGTGGATAGTCGTTTATTGAATATTCACTTTTCAATAATAAACGTGGTGTTTTCGTTTGCAGCATACATAAGTCACGCAAGTAATGTTTACTTAATGCCCATTCCTAAACCTGTTTTATGAAAAAATCTTTCTAGAACATTTAAAGGGAAATTAATTAGGTACCTTTGCAAATATTCGATGTCTGCGACTGTGTATTTTGCAATAAATCTTCAGTAGAATTAATTGCGTATGGATTGTGACGGCCACTTCTCTTCTGCTTGTTTTCATCCTTATTTTCCGTTTTATAAGGATATCTAAACAGCAGTCTGTCACCCTTACTGTCTGATTTCACAAAAAATATATTCAAGGGATTCACTTCCATGGTATAATGCATTTAAAGTAACAGTGTCACTGAATATTAGTCAACAACGTATAGTGGTTAAGGATAAATAATAAACCTAAGTAAAACTAACGATTCGTAAACATGATGGGACCCTGAACACGTCGCAAATCCCAAACTAATGGAAAACATAAATGTCTTTAGAACACAGTACGATCTATACTTTTCGATTTTACTGTGATGAGAGGATTTCACAAAATAAAGATATACTACGTGAGGATTTCTACGAATTGGGCGGATTCCGAGGACTCGACGTGGACTTGACATTTACTGTGTAGTGGAAAAGAAGCAGTAATCGACATTTTGTTGAAATGAATGGAACACACACAGATACCAAATCTAAGTTGCTTTATAAACGCAAGTCGTTGACTTCCAATATTAGTCGATAGATAGCAGCACTAGTCGTATCCCAGACTCGTATTAGTAGTCTGTGTCCCAGACCTCAGAACTTGGTTTTCTCCGGCTACGTTTTCGATATTTTAACCGAAGCGTTCTATTGGATATCGTTCTCAAATCGAACAGCGCTTTCCGAGCTAGGTATTCAAAACATTACATCTTAAAATGTTTCAAAACATTAACTTCAAATTTTGAAGTTAGACCTGGGGGCCAATCGCGCTATTTTCGCAAGGTTTAACCTTACAACATTTGAGGTTATGGTTTTGGTTAATTAATGGTTCTACCGACGCACAAAATGCAATCGCGCTGGGGCCAATCGCGCTAATTGTCAAAGGTTTAACCAAAACCTCCAACCTCGCCAATCTGACACGTTGTGTACATTTCGTATCGCGCTAACTGTCAAAACAAAAACCTAAGCCAAAACTTAGACGTGTGACACGTAACGCACATTTGGTATCGCGCTAATTGTCAAACGTAAAACCAAAACCTAAAATGTTGCAAATTGGTATCGCGCTAAATATTTTGACATTTTAACCTCACATGTAACCTTGGGGGAATAGATTAACCTTTGCAAGGTCAAGGTTTGTGTGGCAGTTAATGGAGAGTAACTTTTCACTACGTTTATCGTATATAAAAGATGTTCCACGGTTACTTAAATGTTTTGGAAAGTGTTTATGAGGTGGATGTGGCCTAAGAACGGGCTTTAAATAAAAGAAAAGCATAGAAAGACGATCACATTTAACATGTCTGAGGAGAAATTCCGCAAACGATATACCGTTTGTCCACGGAATTCATTTCAGGATTGGTGGAAGAACTATGCCTACATATTCTCGTTAAAGGACGGTCTGTTGCATTGGATGTGGAGACAAAGGTAAGGGTTGAGTGGAATCCGAAAGTTCTCAGTTTTGCATAATAACCAAAATTTCTATACTGTGTAAATCATTATTAATTTTGTTACAGATTTTAATAGCTCGTATAGTTTTTAACAACTGGGGCGTACCAGACCCCCATTGGCAAGTGCTTATCACCCTTTCCCAAGTCAGTGTCAGAGAGGCACAAGCGGTAGCTGCTTCAAATAAACGAGTTATTATGAATAAATATGCAGCTTTCCTAAAAGGCATGCCGAAAGAGATGGTATTAAAAGGCGGTGAGAAAATAAGCTTTACAATGTACATCATATTTATTAGTTCTTGTCTTATTTCCTGTTGTTATTATCAAATTAAAATTACAGGTATAGGTAAAATATGTATAGTTGTATAAAAATATATTACAAGGTTACAATTTATTTCTTTTAACACTTGACTTTATACAACATATCGTCCCCTTACAGTGAAGCCTCACATATGCATTTTCAGTTTGTTTTTACTGATTTTTGTTGAATAAAAATTAATAATGTAATAATATAGTATCTAAAAGAGGTATAATTTAAGTAATTAAAATGCTAACTACACACATTATTGCATTTACTATACTTCACACCATATTTTTATCTTCATCCTAAAAAATTACATAGAAATATGAGGTATTCATTCTAAGATGACGATGTATACCTATTGTAATTGTTTATTATCTTAATATCTAAATTGATGTATACTTTTAAGAGGTTGAAATAAAAAAAAGAGTGTATTTTTAGTTTATTTATTGCCTCAATCTACCCCAAATCATCCTTCATTTCCAGAGCGAGCTTGCTTTTGATTCTTCAAAGAAGTCTGAAACAAAAATATGTATATAGTAAGATTGGAGACCTAAATTTAAGACTGTGCCATACCTCTCATGAGAGTAGTGACAGATAAAGCAGGATGGGTATTTATATACATACAGTATGAAGCCAACATAAACGCCAGAATGTTTAGGGGCCTTTTCAAAATACATTTAAAAAAATGTTTATATCACTGTGGAAATATAAAGGGGACAAAAGTCTACAGATTAGACCTTCGTTCCTTACGCTCTTTCAGATTTCCACAATTGAACATATCATCAGCAGGAATTAAGAAAACATGTTGAAAACAAACCTGTCATTCTTGTTAAATATTCTATCAAAAAGGTTAACTGCAGGCACCAACTCGGTAATTGCTTTGCAAATGGCAGCTACGGATTGGGCATGCAGATCATCTGAAGAAAAGAAATAATAGCTGCCTCAGCCTGCACCCTGCCAGCATTCACTTGCTGCAAAAATGCTTCGCATGCTCGCAGCTCCTCAATGCATAAGAATTCTACCCGGCTCTGCTCCAACGCTCATCAGCTCGCTGTCAACGAAATAATAGATGTGATGTAATAAAGAGTGGGAAAGAATTTGCTCAAATTGAAAGTTACTTTGTTTTTTAATTAATAATAAAGAGTGAGAAAGTTACTTTGTTATTGAATTGTATGTTTGACGTTATTTAGTTACTTTGTGCTAGAGTTGGTGTCCTTTAGGAAGGTTGGTAGGGCCTCTGCCGCAGTCGATGTGGCGTAGATTCTCACCCTGCTTTTCATACCATTCCATACCTGAATAACAATAATAACATTGCATATTATAGTGATATGAGTTCTGGTACAATAACGGTGAGTGATCCACTCACTGTATCCTATTACCTAGCATTATAGCTCACCTTTTGGGATCTATTGCGGGGCCACAAAATAGCCACACACTCGCACCAAAGGCGTGCTGATAACACGCGCGAACAACGCCGAGCGAAGTCATTCTCAAGCCACATCTCTGTGCGATTCGAACTCCAGCAAAGATGGAGCTGGCTTACAGTGGTCGGTCGCCGTCCGACCGCATCCACATTGGCTGAAATACGAGCATCATTATTAATTCTACATTGCTAACATTTCGAAATTAATAGTAGTTAGCGTACCTATTTGATTGTATAAAAAGATACTATTTTATGAAATAGAATATTAAAAAAGGAAAACAATGTGTAGGTACTTGCCTCTGCGTGTTTTATCTACAACAACAACACACTAAATTCAATTAATTTGGTTCAAATCACAACACATATGTTTGTTTACAATAGAATTTAATGACATTTCTTTTACACACTTTTTTAAATCGCTCTTTTATAGACTTGAATTCGTAGATATTGACATTTCAGTGCGTTTTACGGTAAAATTTAGTCGGTTTTAGGAAGTCAAGGCACGTCTCTTAAAATTTAATACGAGGTTATAGTTTGAGGTTAATTTGAGGTTTAGGTTCATTAAAACTGATAGCGCGATTGCATTTTGTGCGTCTGTAGAACCATTAATTAAATAAAACCATAACCTCAAATGTTGTAAGGTTAAACCTTGCGAAAATAGCGCGATTGGCCCCCAGGGTTTGATTCGGATTCGGATACAATATCGTTATCCAACAGCGTTTACGGAGTTAGTTGGTGAAATAGAATATAAGAAATATGAAAATCCTGTGATATACATTTTTTAAGACTTTAAAGGCCTAAAATATAGGAATACATTAGTCTTGTATTAAAATACATTAACAAAATTAAACAAAAAACAACCTTTATTTAAAATAATAAGAGATTTCCATATTATTAAATTAAAAATAGGGTAGTTACAAAAGTTTTGTAACTATGGTGAAAAAATAGGGTGGTTTGCATTAATATTAGACATAACTGGTTGATGACTGTACCACCTCAGTCAACCCTACTATATCTTTCTAATTTGTGAGTCAACCGTGACCATGGGACCTGTAAAGGACCCGAAACGTCGGTTTGTTTGAAAAAACAAATATACGCGATTTAAATCTGAAAAAATAGTTTCATTTCCTACGTGTAACAATCGCGAAAACCGAAGAACTCGAACTGTGTTCTAGTTGACGTTTGTGGTCTTTGCCGGTCGAGAAGTTTGAGTAATTGTACGGGTGTGACGTCATTTCGATTCGGTTTAGTATATGACAGTTTGACGTTTCTATTCGGGTGCTGTGAATAAAAAGGGAAAGAAATCGTACGATATCAAATCTAATCGGTCCACAACAGAGTTAACGTAAGATTCTGAATCGACGCTCTATGTAATGTGATTGTGAATTGAAAAATTTTGCCTCGTTACGTTAATTCCGATGCCGTAAAATCTATAAATAAAAAAATATCATCTTTGATTCTTCCATAAAGGATGGAAAAAGAAAGATTCTTTCCTTTATTTTTTTCCATCTTCTAAGGATTCTTCACTACCTTCCAGTGGTGCCAGGGGGACTCTCGATCTCCGTCCGAAACAATTACTGCCAAATAAGCAATACTTGACCAAATGAAAAGACGCGTGATGCTAATGAAGCTTCATACTTGATACGTGTCTTTTAATTTTGTCGAATATTACTTATTTGACAGTAATTGTTTCGGACGGAGATCGAGAGTAGAGCCCCAGATTATGTCTATGCCAGATTCGGCGATTTTTCGTCATTTTGGCTACTTCGAGGGGTCGTGCAGCGACTAAAAAAGTGATCAGCGATTTTTAATGGGTTTGAGTAGCTCTATGTGTGGAGAATTGGGGAAATAAGAGAGTTTATATTTCCCAATCTCCGGCTGCAAGTAGAATTAATTAAGAATAGAATTGTTTTCCTTATTTGTAAGTCAATGTTTTCCTTAGTTTTCTTTCGGCATTTTATGGCTTGAGCGAATATCGGCTTCATAACTAACACACATAAATTGGCGAATTAACTTCACAAAAGTCTGGCAACACTGCTACCTTCACTCACTGTCAAACATCGTGAAAACAAAAAAGGTCCAATTTTCAATTATTTCCTGAAAAATTCAATAAAAATGTCTGGTCAGATCGATAGTAATTGCAAAGTACATCCAGTAAAAGTTCCTCTAGAAACAGATCAAGGTATTTTGGTGAGCGAAGAGATAAAATGGGGACTACCTTTGAAAGAAGTTTACAAACATGGATTGTCGTTTTATAAAGGTACCCAATTTTTTTTTGTTCATTTTCGTGAATTTTAGTTATACAAATATATCAATAAAGTCACAATTATCAACAACATCCAACTTTTACTAGATATGGATACAGTCTAACATTATAGTTATAATGTTTCCTAATGA